CATACGCCATATTTTCAACAAACGCCCTCAAGCCCAACCTCCTACCCAGGTTCTTTGCTCCTAAGCGCAGAAAACTTTTAATCAATTTTTACTTTTTAATCGCTTATATAAGTGGCCGAATGTAGCTTTTAACATTTGAACTGTAGACATTCGTAGTGTATCTACATAATATTGGCTTAGCAAATGCATGGACTTCACTTCGTTGATTCAGCAAACTTTGTATAATATGTTATTCTGTAAACCTAGGTAGATTTATAGACATTTAAGTACCTCGTTTGCCTGACGTTTCAGTCTTTTGACAAGTCCTATTTTCGTCTATTTGTGGTGATTAGACGCGCTGTATCGGTATCCTGTTTACGCGCAATTTATTCCTTAGTCACTGATTGTGGTTGCTGCGTCAATATGGGTATACACACTTATGCTAAAATATTAGTTGTTACTGCGTAGATATATAACCACATAAACCAAGGTGGATTGCGTATTTTAGGCATTAACCTTTTAGCGTGTTTTGTTTCCGTTAAAAATTATGTGTTTTTAAAAACATGCTGTGCGCAATTCCGGAGGGCGGATTTCCACTGTCGCATTTCCACTGCCATCACATCTGCGCATTCACACAGAAGCCCTCTATAAAAACTGCGCAGCAACAATCATTATTCAATTTCTATCGAACGCGATCGAGCAATGGCTTCTAGCATAAAAAAGACGAAAAGGGGTAAATACTGTGTTTGTGGAGGTCCTGGATTGCGCAGTTGCACAAATACCTATCACATTGAAGAATATCAATGCACAAGTTTATCGAGAATGAGGAACAGCGGAAAAACTGGATAAAATTAGTGCGAAGACATCGGCCAAATTTTGTTCCAAGCAAATCGTCAGTCATATGTTCAAGGCATTTCGAGAAATCTTGCTTCGCAACAAGGTATCATGTTGGGGTGCCTGACGAACTCAAACCAAAAGCTAGATATCTAACACCAGGGTCTGTTCCAACTAAGGATACTGTCATCCTGGATGAAATGCCAACTACATCACATGCTAAAAGAAGGGTGAGCCTTAAAAACAACTTGACAAGAAATATTTGAATATTTTTTTGCGTGTTGAATATTATTTGTTATAACAATCTCTTTTTTTATCCACAGATAATATGTCACCAGTTATCGCCGCTATCGTGTGATTCCAACCAAGACGAGGAAGAGCACACAACTTCAGATGAAGATGAAGCAGATAAAATTGAATTAGCCCACACAAGAGACAGATGCGAAAGTCCGATTCTTTCTGACAATCTAAACGAAGTAAGTTTTATATCTGAAGATCAGGAATTGCTTCCGTGCACCAAATGTGATCTGGAAAAAGAAAAACTAGAGCACCTTCAGAGAGTACGTTCTGTGCAAAAAAAACGCCTTTTAAAGAGAAAGTGGCAAATAACAGCACTAAGGAAGAAGAGTAAAAACCTCAAAAAGGTTGGTTCAAAGTTACATGATTACTATGAAAGTGATACCACAATCTACATGATTGTTTTAGGGCTTGTTTAAGTGATTTCTTTAGAATGAGCTACTATAAATATTTTGTTATTTTTTTAAACTAAAATTTCACTAGAGAAATTATCATTTTCTAAGATCGTTGAATCTTTGCAACAAGAGATGTCCTCTAGTTCGTCTGAAGACGAGAGCAGAAGTAACTACGATTCCGATGAAAATAAAACTGGTGAAGATATAGGCATCTTGAATGAGGCTTTGCATGATGAAGATGGATCACTGCCAAACAGCTCTGAACATGAATTGATCGATAATTTTAAAGATCCAGATTGGAATGCCAATATGGAGGATGAAGAAACAGACTCATCAGCTGATGATGAGCTCGAAGACGATGGAAAGGAAATACAAGAGGGCACATCACAAGATGCAAGGTAGGTTTTTATATACACGCAGCATCAGTGAATAATTCATAAAGTACTTTGAAAAACACAGAAATATTATTGCGACTTATTACACCTGTTGTTTTTTAGATTAGCGGATACAGAGCCAAAGTTTATAGTTTTTTACAGTATGTTGGTTTAACTGTTTTCATTGTTCTGCTTTCACTGCAAGACCGAATCGCCAAGTGTTGACATAAAAGTTTGTGGAACAATAATGGCAATAGTGGAAAAAAGATGCAAATCATGCAAAGGGTCTTACACATGGAGAAGCCAACCATTAGTGTTAGGAAAACATCCTGCTGGCAATATCCTGCTGAGCTTCGCAATTCTCATGTCCAGATCCTCTGTTAGCAAAGTTCTTCTACTCTTTGGGCACTTAGTGTTTCGGACAGTCCACCTTTGGACAGAACTTTACATCTTATTTATATTTGTTACGTCATATTTAATTTATCTTGATTATACTTTGATTCAACTTGATTTGCCTGCAATAGGATATGTGTTGATTTGTAATTTGATTCGGGACAGTTATATATATTAGGATAAGAACAAAGAGATTTGAGTTTGATATTGAGCATATAGCTTGTGTATGAAATGAAATGAAGTGCTGTTTCAAGCCGTAGAGACCCACTCTTCAGGTACTATAATCTTTATTTGTAATGTGTTAAGTTCTTTATTCACCAATCAATAATATAATGTAATCTAATCAAACGCAATCATTTTAGAATATATAAATAAATATTACGAAAATCTCTACGGTGTTGAGCGTGGTTTTGCCCATTGGAAACAAGTTTTGAAGATTGGTTAACACGTTGAGATGTTCAAAAGAGGACTGTAGTACAATCTGGTACCGAGATAGCAGGCAAATTATCGTGGTTATTGGGTGAAATCATGAGCGATAAAGAAGGCCAAAGTGGCGTAGGCGAAGTATCACAAGAGACGACAGTAACACATGGCGTTGGTGAGTTAAACCCGCAAATGAGCAAGATAAAGAAAAAGCGCGCACTTCAACGAGGTAAGATGACTCGAACCATTAATAGAGTAAGAAAGCTTATCGACCAGGGCCCGGAGATGCGCAAACGAGTCGAAAAAGTAATGATAGAAATCCGCAAGGACTTTGAGTTAGCGCGTGAGTGTCATGCTGAGTTATATGAGTTTGCTGACGAAAGTCAAACCTCAGCCATGGACAGTTGGGAAGATAATTTGATCAAAGACTTTTACGATGTGGAAGAATATGTTGAACACTACATTCAGTCCGTTCCTGTGCCACAACACGCTAACACAACGTCTTCAACTAGTAAACAGATTTCGGGACAATCAGCTAGCAACAGCGAAAATATAGCAGCCGGAGGCAATAGTGTAAAATTACATCAAAACCCCCCTGAGGAACTCCCCACCGTACAGATCGAAACCAGGGAAACGACTGAAAACAGCGAGTTGGTAATCAACAGTAGCGTAGATAATACGGAATTAGACAATCGGCGGAATTTAACTAGTGATTTAACAACGTAAAATCCAGAGCAAGTCAGCGCCGGCGGCCTTCCGAAACTTGATCTAAAAGCTAACCTGTCATTGCTGCAATCCTTTGACAGTTGGATAGATGATTTGATTGAGTTTAAAGAAACAGTTCTGCCTACCGGAGTTTCAAAAATGTCTATAGGAGAAGCGTTATATAAACTAGAAGCTAGTAAAGATATTCCAAGTATAAAGTTAATTAAATATGACGGAGATCCACTTAAGTACGTTGAATTTATCGACCGTTTCAAATTGCTTATACATGATAAGCCACATCTGTCTGACGACGTGAGAATGGCGCAACTGAAAATGCATGTAACCGGAAAGGCTGAGCGTACTATAAGCGGATTAGGCTCACAGGGAACTATGTACGCAACAGCGCTCAAAATCATTAAGGAACAGTTTGGCCAGCCAAGCGTTATAGCAAGAGCGTATATTACAAAATTAATTGATGAGCAAAGGATCAAAGGTAACGATAAACAAGCGTTACAAGAACTGTCTTTCGACGTTGTAAATTGCGTAGCGACTTTGAAACAAATTAATCATTTAGCAGACGTCAATGCTACCGACAATCTCCGCAAGATTATAATGAGATTACCCGATCACCTTGTTCACAAGTGGAAAGACGTCGCGTCTGGCCTTAGAGAAAGGGGAGAAAGTCCCTTGAGCACATCAGTAAATTCCTCAGAAAGCGCGTAAAAGCCGAATTCGATCCAGATTTTGGAGACATTTATAACTTTAGTTCTCGAAAGCCAGCCCGAGAAAGAAATGGTGTTTACTTTAATCAAGGGAACTCTAAGAAACCGTTGAAATGTTACGTATGTTCAGAAGAGCATCGTGTTGTTGAATGTCCGACCTTTTCTAATTGTACAACGGATCAAAGAATTCAGCACGCTAAAAATGAACGGTTGTGCTTTTCTTGTTTGAATCGCGGTCATCTGACTAGAGAATGCAAGTCCAAAACAAAATGTGGTATAGACGGTTGTTCTCGTTTTCATCACCAACGACTCCACCCGAACACCGAACCTCCTCCAGCACCACTCAGTTTAGCAACATCAGCACTCGATAGCGACAGTATTATGCCCGTTGTAAGAGTCCAATTTAAATCCGCAAACAGAAGAGTTCTAGAAGGGAATGTGCTCGTTGATAGCGGCGCCGGTACTACGGTAATTCGCAAGGATTTCGCGAAGTCACTGGGACTGCAAGGACAATGAGAACGAGTTGACATAGCCGTTGTTGGCGGCAAACGTATCACCCAGAATGACAGTAGAAGAGTCAGTTTTAGATTTCGCCACTTAGGGGAAGAGAATCTTACCCTATTGAAGCCCACGAGTTAGACCAAACCATCATCAGTATCCCTGCAATCAACCGTAACTGGTTAAAGTCATTCGATCACCTTAGCGACATAGAGTTTCCACATCGTGCTGGTCAGGTAGATCTCATCCTCGGGGTGCAGTATAGCCATCTCCACGCGGAGAACGAAGTTAGACAAGGTTCTCCTTTCCAGCCTATCGCCAAACGAACGAGATTGGGATGGTATGTCATCGGCCCGGACTCCGCCACGCGAAACCCAAGCATGAGCTACTTGAATTTTGCTCGGAAGATTGACCTAGAGAAGTTCTATCAGTTTGAAACAGTCGGAGTGCGAGCGCCCGAGTGTAGCTGTCCAGAAGAAACCATGACCAGAGAAGGAAAGAAAGCAGTGGATTTGTTTGAATCATCATGTAAAAGGCTCGGTAGAAGATACCTGATTGGCCTCCCTTGGAAGAGAGATCCGGCCAACCTTCCAAACAACTACCCACTTGCAAAACGACGCCTCGAATCCCTTGAAAGAAGCTTAGCAAGAAATCTCAGTAAAGCCAAGAGTTACGCGAACGCCATTCTTGAGTATGAAAAGAATGGATGGGCACAGAGATTGACGGATCTGGAGATCAAGAATACGAAAGGCCCTGTGTATTACCTGCCTCACCATGGTGTGTATCGCCCAGAGAAAAGGAGCACTCCCCTGCGGATTGTGTTTGATCCTGCATCCCCCTACCAAGGAGTTTCACTGAACTCTTTGCTGTACAAGGGTCCATGTCTAATCAGGAATTTGCTTGGTGTTCTACTCCGCTTCAGAGAAGAAGCAGTCGCGTTTGCTGGGGACATTTTGAAGATGTTCCTACAAGTCTTATTACCGGAAAGTGATTGTCAGGTCCACAGATTCCTTTGGAGAGACATGGAAACGTCTCGAGAACCGTCAACCTATGTTCTCCTTCGAGTTACCTTTGGCGATAAACCATCACCAGATATGGCGAGCTTTGTTATGTTAAAGATAGCGGAGGAACATCCAGAGACTACTCCAGAAGCATCAAAAATCATCGAGCGTGACAGATACGTCGACGACCTGCTTCACTCGTGCCCATCAAACACAGACGCTATCCAGAGAATCTCTGATATCGAGAAGATTTTGAATACTGGCAGTTTCCCAATCAAAGAGTGGCATTGTTCTTCGAAGAAAGTGCGAGATTGTGTGTCTAAAGGTACCAAAGTGACGTCCCAGTTAAATCCTGTTTCCCTTCCAACCACCGAAACTTCCAACCCTAAAGAAAGCGTCAAAGAAAATAACCAATTCAATTTAGATGGAGAGCAAGGAGTCAAAGCGCTAGGAGTTTCTTGGAATCCAGTGACGGATACCATACATTTCGAAGTGAAGGTGACACAAGCAGAGCCATACACCAAGCGAGTGATCCTGTCCAACATCTCAAGATTGTTCGACCCTTTAGGTCTTGCGTCGGTTGTGAGATTTGGAAGATGGAAATGCAATTGACCTGGAGAAAGTTGTTTGCGGAGATCGAAGAATTAAAGACCATACAGTTTCCTCGATGCCTACAACCACCATCACCCATTGGTTCACCAGAGTTGCATGTATTCGCTGACGCCAGCGTCCTCGCATATGGAGCAGCAGCGTATCTAGTTTGGTCCTCGTCATCTGGAAGGACAGAAGTACGCCTCATCTCCGCCAAGGCCAGAGTTGCCCCATTACGCCAAACGACTATTCCACAACTGGAATTGATGGCGGCCTTGTTAGCGACAAGATTAGCAAAAACCATCCACGATGAGTTCAAAATCAAACCTATAAGGGTGACGTTATGGTCAGACTCCATGATAGTACTTGCATGGCTACGTTCGGAATCCACTTTACTCAAATCGTTTGTTGGCGTACGCGTCGCAGAAATCCAAAGCACCTGGGAGCCCCACGTTTGGCGGTATGTTCCAACAGACCTTAATCCAGCTGATGACCTTAGTTGTGGCATTGCGGTCCATGAGATGAACGAGCGTTGGATGAATGGCCCGTTGTTCCTAAGAGAGTGTCCAGAACATTGGCCAACCGAAGTCAAGGAAACATTTCCAGAAGTACCCGAAACGAAGGTCAACAAACCGTTATTTACATTGCAACCTGTGAAAGGTCCCATCATCGACCCATCCAGATTTTCAAACTGGCAGAAATTATGTCGCGTCTTAGCCTATTGCCTGCGCTTCATCAATAATGCGAAGTCTCGAAGTCGAGTACAAGGCCCGCTTCTTCCCAAGGAAAAAGAATCAGGCGAACAGTATTGGATCAAGTCCGCCCAACAGCAATTAAAAAACTGGAAAGAACGCTATCAAGAATTAGCCCCCTTTGAAAAGGACGAAATCATTCGTGTTGGAGGACGACTGAAGCACTAGCCTTTATCGTACGACGAAACCCATCCTATGCTCCTACCAGCAGACCACGTTGTGTTGAAATTAGTTGCCAAAGATTCCCACAACCGAGTATTCCACGCGGGTCGTGAACGTACCCTGTGCGAGACACGACGGAAATTCTGGATTGTCCGTGGCAGAAACCTGGTAAAAAAGATTGTTAAAGATTGCGTCACTTGTCGTAAATTAAGGCAGTATCCTTACACCACACTCATGGCTGACTTACCCCCAGAAAGGCTAAAGTTGTTTTCTCCACCCTTCTCAGTCACTGGCGTGGATCTATTTGGTCCATTCTATCTCAAGTACGGTAGAAATAAGAAAATCAAGGCTTGGGGAGCAGTTTTCACCTGCACGACGGTTCGTGCCATACACCTAGAAATTGTCCAAGATCTTTCCACTGACGCTTTTCTCCACACCCTGCAACATATTTTCTCCCATATTAGGTTTATTAAATTGAAATAACTTGCAGACTAAGTTCTCATTCTACCCTTTGAATAGGATCACAATGTTTGATATCAATGACAATGGGATAGAATAAGGTGATACATATGTACTGTACCTTCTGGTAACATATGTTTTGTAGTCGTCCCTAATCTTGAAAAATGAGAATTGATCATTTCTACTTCCTCTCCAGTGGTGCCACAAGCTCCATCCTGCCACCTTCCCCTCCATAAAACCTTAGAATACAACAGTGTAGGTTAGTAAAATTGAATTTTATATTTTTTACATAGACTATTATTTAATTTAGGAAATTGTGAGCGCGTCCTGCCGACATTTTCCATATCAATAGTTTCATTTTTCATTTCTTTAGAATATAGTATGTGAAAAAAGTGTCGACAGGCTAGAATACAGCTATCTTCATATACTGTAACTCTGCGATCACTTTTTATACTGTAGATAACATGATTCTGTATCTAAATATTGCCTCTTAACATGGGTTTAAGGTTAAGGCCAGAGTCAAACGCCGAACTTTGTTGAGCTAAGTTCTTTGTTTCACTTCATTTGCATTAGGTTCGACGCATGAAAAGTTCCACGTTTGACCGTGGCCTTATTTAATTATCCCACATAATTAAACCAAATAATTATACCAAACACAGCAAAACAAACCTGGCACGACCACGAATGAGCTTTCGCATGCATAACAGAAAGTGCTGGTCGCATCAATTGCGCAGTTTGGTTATCATGTTTTCGAAGCCATGGCCAATATTTGCAAACAACATCATACAAAAAATACCGGACATGCAGCGGTATAAAGTAAGTTGTTTGCAAATAATGGGCATATCCATAAACTTCACCAAACTTCATGTTAACAGAATGCTGTGCAATAGCGTGTCTGCAACCAGCAATTTCCAGTCCAGTTTCATCCAGCTTCGCTTTCTTCTTCAAAATATTCTTGGCAGCTCTCCAACTGGTGTCTCCACATGTATTTGTAGTTACATCGTGCGCTATAAAACACAGCACAATTTAAAAAGCAACGAAACCAAATACAGTTGCATGTGTATATTACAACGGCCCCATTTCAACTGTACAATGACATACCCTTTTTTCATTTCCGTACACTTTTTCTAGGTGTTCAGTTACTTTCTTATCGGATGCAACAAACTTTTCGTCATAGTAGCATTCCTTTTTTCTCCTACAGTTGGAATGTAAGAAAAAATGTGTGATAATCAAATTGATATTATATTTAAGTACTATTGAAAACATTAATATTGACTGGTTATTAATATGACTTCCCAATCCTCTCTTTCTTTGGTACGTTTGGTTTAAGGTATACACACAGTAGCCTAATCACACTACACATTTACAGTACTGTAACATTTATAGTATAGCCATTAATAATTATCAAATCTACTCTCATACCCTCCAGCTGAGTGATATCTGTATAACTTCATGTTTCCGTCGATATGCACGGAATGCTGGTCTAAATGACATGGCGGGCAAACCATCCAGTCTTTGTGCAACAATATATCGAGCTCATGTTGACAGTATTTCCATTCACGAAAAGAGCGGGAAAACGTGGAAACGTTGATAGGACCAGGCTGAATATACATAGAGTACAGTACATAGTCATTCATACAAACAGTATATACAATTTTAGTCATGCAAGCCAGCCATAAATGCTGTCCATTCTGCCGGTAACTGATGACTTAGGGTACCTCAAAAAAGGTTTTTTATGAATGGAACATTTACGATTTTAAAAAATTATTTATTTTCAGGAAGCTTTCTCACAAAGTGATTTTCAGAGAGGTCCTAACTAGGGACTAACCTAGGAACTAAATAAATAAATTTACAATGAAGACATGTATATAAAAATGTTCCAAAGACATAGTGCTAAAGTTTCTTTTAGATTTAGTCCGTACATTCCAAATGTTTGACGTCTTTAAGACAGTATTTAAAGGATTTGAAATCGATTTAAAATTTACCTGTACTTGATTTTGTATAACTAGATTTTGTTTCATATAAATTGTATCAAGCCAGTCCTTTAGATTAAATAATTTTGCTTAGTCACATTATCGTATCATACGTATACTTAAAAATATATTTATAAAACCTTAAACAATCTGGACCATGTTCCCCATCTGGCAGAAGGGGCAAAGATAAATGGTATCATAAACACTACTGGTAGCACTGTTATCAATCTATCTTACCCGCCCTTTCCTTTTAGAGAACTCTTCCAAACTTAACAGAAAGGCTCTTTCAGAGGCCCCTGGAACATGCTTTTGTAAGATATCTCAATGCATAAAAAGATCCTGATGAAACAACTGTCGAGTATCAGAGACACTGCCAGGCCATAGACCACAACGAAGAAGGTCTTTAAAACAATATGGAGGGACATCACAACAACATCTTGTGCAATAATATGAGCACTCATTCAAATCAAATCTACCTACAAATTATAATAAAACGTTTAATGTTAAATACGCATGTACAGTACATTGCTTTAAAACAACGAATTTCTTTTAGTATTTTTACAGGCTTACTATATATATATATTTAAGTTTCCTGAAAAAAAGGCAAAAAAATCAAAATAGCTGATTGATTATATAATATATATATATATATATATATATATATATATATATATATATATATATATATATATATATATTATACGATATATATATTTATGGATCCAGTAAATATATATTACCTCTTAGCGTAATAATTGTTATGAAACTTGTCTGTACAGTCTGCAGCATTTTGTCACTTGATTTACAGTTAGGACACACCAAATAGTTAAAATGAAACCATCTGTCTATATAATGAGAAATCAAATTAAAATCTCAAGTACTATTTAATGTAGAACATGAGCAGCAGAGTTTTATCAGATATAGAAATATATATTCCTAAATACAAAGATAGACCTTCCAATTCCAATTGACCTGAATTTTAATCAGACTCACTGATCTCAATTATATCTCCATTTTCATTAGCGGACATGGTAGGTGATACTGGTTTCATGTGTCCATTTACAACAGCATCACGGTCATGGAAAGCATTAAACTGATGTGCTTCATTCTTGCAGGATGTACACAACATCTGATCTTTGCAATCATTGCATCTTAGAACAATGATGCTTTCTTCACACTTATGGCAAACTTCATCTTTGTTTGGAATTTTACAGTGGCCAAGAACATCTTCAAAAAGGTTGGGTCTGCAATATTTCCAGCTTGTTTCAAGGTTATCCATCCGTGAGCTCCAATTCCGTTTGATATTAACTTGTTTTTTCAAATTCCATTGCTCTATGAGCTCTTTAGCTTCATCAATTACCCTCTCTATTTCCTCTAAACAAACAAGCAAACTTTCCGCCAATTTGTTTTTGCTACTCAAGGATATGAGCTGATATCCGGTGAGTAGCTTGACCAATCATATTGCAGAAAAGCTCATATACAGTGAGTAGCTATATTATCAATAATATATATATATATATATATATATATATATATATATATATATATATATATATATATATTAGTAAAATAGTAAAGTAGGGCATTTCAGCTAGGCACAGTACAATGTAACTTAGTCAATGTGAAGGTACAGTATCAATGGCCAAAATCTCATAGCAAAGCAAAGTCATTGGTC